GCGCTCCCCCTTCTTTGTACTACGTACTAGTAGGAGTTGAGCCGAGTAACCCAAATACTCATAGACAAATCATAGGACGATTACACTACTGTATTCTTGCGGGTTTTCAAGTGACTGTGAATTACTGGTACAGTATTACGCGAATTAACTAACAGTAAAAACTGACAGCAAATACCGAGTTCTGGAGATTTAGTGTATTATTATTAATATCAGTACCAGTAAATAGTTCCGGGTAGCCCAACTTTTAGCCGGATACAGAGAACTGAATACGAACTGGCGCAGTGTGGCACAATGGAATATTGTCGATTTGATACAAATTTGGGAGGGAATCGAATCGCGCCGACCAAACCGATCCACAATCGATCTGATTGGTTGAATTTCATTGAGAAGGTTTTGATTGGCTAATAATTTTGAGCTCATCTGAGGTAGCCATTCAAATCGATTTAAATTCCAACGAGAAACCACGCCACAACACGAAATTTCACTCGAAAGCACAATATAGAACAAACTACAATATGTATACAGAGTGAGACAACATATTGGGGGAAAATTATAATAAAAATTCGTACTTCAACCTTTTGAAACACTTCCTAATTGGTTGCATTTTAGCCACTTACCGGAGTCCGAGGATACCTCCGCAATTAAATCGTGATGATTAGGGTATGGCTAGACAGCCTTTTCTGATGTAGCATTTGATTGGTTAAAAATGGTTGCTTTCAGTGTTGCACCTTGTGGGTCTGGTAACATTTCAAAATTAATATTCCATTTTCTCGTAAAATGGGATTAACCAAAATGCCATTTTCAGGAGGTAAAAGGTCGATTTTGTAATATGGAGTTTGGACCTCTTCAATAAGTAAATTCCACGTGGAATTGTTGGATTTGGGTTAAAACTCATCAAGCAAGAAATCTTTCAATTTAGATCAGATTTGTTGAATTTGGCCCCAAAATGGCATTTTGGGCCTGAATATTGTAATATTTCATGTTGCCAGACGGGCCCAGTGGGCCCGTCTGCGCCAGTTTCTACTCGGTGTAATCCAATGAACCACGCAACTATTCTTGCGCTGGGGTTGCGTTACATGGAAACCATATGGTTGGCCCCATACAATTTTGAGGATAAAATAACTATCCATCAGATACCAGTAGTTCGGTTAATTTAGTACTCCGATTACAGTTAGCAAGTCGTAAAATCAATTTTCGGACTGTAAACTTCGGTGTTTTTTAATAAAAATATTGTTTGAGGTTGTAAAAATACAAATATTTAATATATTATTAAATTATATATAATTAACTTTATTATTCTAAAAATATTTAAAATAATATTTAATTATTTATGGTGTTTTTGGTACTTTAAGTTTTGGTAATATTTTTTTTAATTTTTTCTAATGTCTTTTATTTTGAAGAAAGAAAGCGTAATAGCTCATTGGTCTAGTTTTTTTGCGCCTAAAATGTATCGGGACTAAAGAAATTTACCGAAGCGTCAAGTTATATTTATTTAATATAACGGTTGCAGAACGACAGCCATTAACCAGAAAAAGCAAGGTGAAATAGGCAATTTTGTATGGAGCGCAAGGTGAACCACCTTGCGAATTCCATAAGTAATTCTGAAATTGTATAGTTTCAATTAAATATATCTTCAAGTTTGTATTGATGATATTTATTTTTCATGTGTCTGTCTCTTTTTGGAATTCGCAAGGCAGGTCACCTTGCGAATTCAAAATTGTCCAATTTTGTCCAATCAGATGCCGTGAAATCACGAAAATAGCTGCGTAGATTCATCACCCGCCCTGTTGCGATATATTCTACTCCTGTGATGGCGGTTGATGCAAGAAGCCTTGAGATAATTGTAGGCTGTGTATGAGAGCAAGATCATGTGATATGGTATTCAGGACTCGGTCAATTCTAACATAGCTGGAGTGCACTCATCAGCACAATTCTCTGGAGCAGCATCACAGAAAGGTCTACAAAATTCAAAGTTCAAAATTGTAACCTCTTCTTTCAGTGTTACAGCCAATCGTGTGTAAGAAACAAGGTGTGATGGACTCTGATTGGATATTAACAAGGAGCAAGGTGGCTCACCTTGCGAATTCCATTAACAAGTCATGCAACGCCGGTATTTTTTAAATTAAGTTTAGTTTTTTAAAAATATTGACGAGGATTGGTAAGGTTTTGCGCGTACCGGTATTGTCGAATTAAACCACATGCTCATTGTCGAATTAAACCACATGCTCCACCGCTTTACACATACCTCTTTTTACTTATAAAAAAAAAATATATGAATAATATTAAATAGACAAAATATATTTATTATACTAAAGTCAGGTAAAAGTAATAAAGATAGTTAATTGTATCTTCTTTTAATTATATAACATTATATTTAGCTATAGAATTAAAAAAATTATCTTTTATATATTAACTGCTTAAAAAGAAAATCACCACTATGGTTGGTAGTTTGACTGGGGCGGTCACCTCCCAAAGAGTAACGGAGGAGTTGACATTTCTTCTTTTTTTGAAATTATTTTTATATAAATAAATATTTTAATAGAATAAATAAATATTTTTAGAAATAAATCCACCCATAACAATATCTTTACCTATATTTTTGTTTAATACTATAAATAGCATTTAAATAATTTCTAGATAATTGTTGATATTAATTCTTTAATTGTTTCGGGGTTGCTTTTGTCCCATTAACGATGGGACAAAAGCACAAGAAACAATATTGTGGACCGACGAGATGGATGAGAGGCATCTGAAGGAGGTTGTGCGGCTTGGCCCGAACGGTGTTGGTCACGGAAAGGCCAATGCAACGTGGGCAAATAGCACCTGTGCCCACGGTGCAGTGGCCATTTTGGACGCACCTGCCAGACAAGATGCGACCCCATTATCCACGAGTCGTTATACTTGATTGCATATTAGATATGGGTATAACTCTACTGAGTTCAAAGTTTAAATTCGAATGAGGTTTGCGAAGCTACCGGTAGTAGCACAGCGACAGCAGGGGGGGCGACAAATGAAATTTTCTTGCTGTTGTACACGGACGAGAAACGGGTTAGCCAATCAGAGAAGAGTAATATCCTAAAAATTGCAAGAACTCCCGAACGACTTGTCAAATCAAAATTCGAAAGACTACGTATTTGAACTATTTTCGTATATCGAATTGTCATGATTTTTCCTTCTCCAGCACCGCATCTTAGGCCCGACTTACGACGGTTTAACTGTACAAGATGGCGTAACGGTCAAGGGTTGGATAAAACGAAATGAACAAGACCATCAGCTAACGTAACAGGTGGCAAGTTTTAACCGATACGATATACGCAAATTAGCTGCGTTATAATTGTAAAGAAACCAATATTCTAGCTGCTGTAACAACCGTATAGATCAAGCGGATAAGGTATCTGACATACTGTAGCAATTCATGGATAAGGCCGGGTCAGTTCAAATCCCAGTGATGTCACTAAAGTTTTTGTTATCAATATCAAGGTTCCCTTACTATTAGAAACTTCACCAATGTCCTATTGGAACAACCGACGTCACCTCAAACTTATCACCCAGTACCCTCGTGTAGCGCTATATCAGACGAGGGTACTGGTGGAAGAATTGTTAGAATTTATGTAGAGATGCATCAGTAGTGCTAGCTTGAGTCGATGGTAATCTAACTTTAGTTGCTACTATGCTCGTAGGTGAGGACGCCACGGCATTTGTGACATATCGCCCAGTACCCCTTGCTCGTAATCTAACTTCAGTTTCTACTGATCTAAATTTATCGGACTTTGTCAATTCACTGCGTTGCGATGACAAAGAAGAAGGCCTCGTTGCTTGTGTGCTCCATGTGCAGCTGTACATCAACTACAGTTCAAAATAAAGTTGGACTTGGTTTGGCATGTTTACGTTGTCGTAAACGTACTACCACGTCGCCCCTTACTCAGTCCAATTACGCCAGTGCTCTTGGTGTTGTTTGTTCCTCGGGTGGTCGTTTGATTGGTGATGGCAGTGGCGCTTTGTCCAACTGCTGTCGTGTTAGTGCCAGCATTGGTGGTCGTTCATTTCCTGGTGGTTGTCGTTCCATTTGTGGTTGTGGCGCTCTGTCCAACAGATCTGGTGCTCGTTCCATTAGTGGTGTTAGTGCTAGCGTTGGTGGTCGTTCACTTCCTAGTGGTTGTCGTTCCATTTGTGGTTGCGGTAGCTACCACGGTGGTTGTGGTCACTCCACTGATGGTGGCTTTCCCAATGGTGGTTTTAGTTCCAGTTGTGGCGATCGATGCATTGGTTGTGTGAGTCCAAGATGTGATGGCGTCAGTCGAGGTGGTGGTGGTGTTAGTTTCACTGCAAGTGGTTGTGTTTGTCCTCAATGCGCCGTCATGGCAAGTAAATTGGCATCGTGCCAAAATGAGTTTGACGAGTTGAAGCGTGACATTTTGACTACTGGATTGTCCAGAACACACAACGAAAGTCTGAGTATTGACCAGCTTCGCAAAAAACTACAGTATCAATGCACTGAGTTGATGAACTTGCGCGCCTCATTGTCCAAAGGGCAAGCCAAAGCTCTTCGCACCCAGAGCGAGAAGAAGTTACTTGCTTGTATAGAAAGTACTGGGAAAGGTCATCTACGAATGACCTTGTATTGCATTGTGCTCGTGCTGTGACTCAAAACCTTGTCCCAGCGCACCTCGCGTTTGACTTTATCCTCTGCCAGTTTGTGTCCTTTTCGCGAAAGAAACTATGGCGTGGAAAAGCGTGCAGTATATTTCCCAAACGAGTCAACGATTGGTGCGAACGCATGTATGCCACCTTTGGAGCCGGCCCCTACGAGGTCGTTTGCAGGAATTGGTCTTGGCACAGATCAGGATATCCAGCACTGAAAGGGTCATTTTGCACTACCTTCCGTACGGACGATTCAACGTCGCTTTGCCAAAGTAGAATTCGAGTGTGGTATATCCGACGCTATGGTCAACAACGCCGCACAGCAGTTCAAACGCAACCAGGCAGCAATTGGCGACCAAGCTACGCTCTTTGGTTGTTTAGCGTTTGACGAGACTAACTACGGGGTTGTACCTGTACGACGAGATTCAGCTGGATCAATTTTTGGGGTGGTTGATTTTGGCCGCAACGAAGTGGGCATCGGAATTACCCCCAGCTCTGTCCATCACTTGGAAAGTAAATTGAACGATGTTGAGGCGTGCTTGCTCGAGTATGGGTTGGACATCCAAAACTTTGCTCCAAACAAATCCACATTTAATGACCCCGACGACATTGCAGCGTTTTTGTGTTTGCTGGTCGACGAGGCGCACTCGATGGTTGGTCAAATCAACACCAAGGTCAACGACAGGCTCAAGCTCATTGAACGAAAAAAGCTCAGGTGAGAGAAACCGCGGATGAAAGAATGCATCATTCGATGGAGCGAGCTGTCAACCGCTTGCAGAGCGAAGCTGACACCATGAAACGCAACATGCACACACCTGCAGTTTGTTTGGACCACATAGCCGAAACGGTGGCTTGGCTTCGTGATGGTGACGAAGCTATCATCTGCGATGATGCAGTCAAATCCACAATGTCTGGGGTTGTGGAATCCTTCCGAACAGTGTTCATCAACTTGTCGCTGCTGTGTGCGGTCCGATCAACAAAGCTCCAAATTTGGCATCTAAGTGACAGTCAACGCATGTCGTCATCCATTATCATGTGTGTGTTCATCGATTCGGTGCGGTGAGAAACAACTCTGCTTTGAACACTTTTGTGGATAAGTTAGCCACACTGAACGTCAGTTGTGATGGTGCGAGTCACGCTGTTGTTGTTAGAGGCTTTGAATGACCAGTCATTGTGTCTGAAGGGTGGCGACTTTGCTCTGCGCGAGCCAATTACTGGAAATCCAAGAGCGTTGAAAAGTGGAGTGTACATGGACAGCGACGAGAGGACTTGGACCAAGAGTTTTTAAAGTACGCTGTACTCTTCTTACTTCAGCAGCGATCGGAACCTTGGCTACTGGGTGGTGCACCATCGTCGATCAATTACTATGACTGTCCCCAATTCGATGAGGAACTCTTGCAGGCAGATGAGTTTTGTGCATTTGTATCGATTGCAATCGAAACACTCAAAACTACCTCGCTGACGTGGAACGAAGAGCGGTTAAACCCTGTGGCTATGGTGGTGGCACATCTCAACGCTCGAGGCAAAAAGCTGAAAATGTTATCGTCAACGAAAATGGCGTGGTTGACGCTGTTCTACTTCGACGACGCGTTGCACACGTACCTCGACACCGGTGTGGACTTTTATCGCCATGTGTTTGTGCCTGAGCGTAATCCATCCATGCCCCACATTGTTCTTACTCGAAACATCGATCCTGCATATGTATTGAAACGATTCGTAACACACTTGTCAACGGGCTGGGCGACTTTCTTCAACTCCAATGCGTGGCAAATGCTTGGCGCGACGCACCCAAATGTACTTGGAAGCTGGTGGTACACTGCACGCGACAACCAAAACGTTCCAAATTCTCGACTATTCTTTTCCAAAGAAGTCAGTGCTACATTGAGGCAACTCGGTCATGTCGTGGAGGCTCACTTGTGTGACGTGTGGCGCAACTTCTTTGCTGTGTTCGACGAGTCTGGAATCAATCACGTGGTTTGTATGGAGTACATCGAGACCTTTTTGGCTTGGTTGGATCCAATCGCAAAATCCAGGCTGTATTCAAAACCCATGGGGTCGCATTACCCTAAAGTTGGTGACGAGTGCACATCGTCCTGTCCAGTCCAGTTAATCGAAGCGCTGTACATCTGGCAAATAGATATCTGGCACGGTGGGAAAATCCTTGGAATTGTCGATGAATATTACCTGCAATCCATACAGCATCATCGTTTCCGAATTGGCGTTCTTTACCTAGCGGTACGGCCGCGTCCATGAATATCGAGGGTGCTATATCCATCTTCAATCGCATACGGGGACGCGAAGGCAGGGCAAGGGCACTTATAAGGACTGCATTATAGCGCTGAAGAAGTTAATTGCTATCCAAGAGAGCGATATACTAACACCAAATGGCAAAAAGCGGGTGTACGACGACATCCACTACGCCAAAAGTATAAAAGAAATGGCCAAGTGGAACAAACCTGGACAGAACAAGAAGCTCAGTCATTCCAACCCGCACGACAAGAAAAATCGGCTAAGCGAAGATATCATTGCCAACGACAAGCCTACAGTACGCTCTTATCACAGTAAATCCCGCGTGCCGTAGAAGTCGCTATAAGGAAGCTCGAACGAAGCTACGATTAACATTGTCAAGTAATCGATTCTTCGTGCTTTGAAGCACCTAGATATATAGATGTATGACCTCTATGTCCTGGTAGAAAAGTTCAATATCACAGCAGTGTCGCGGGAAAATTCGGACGTTCCGTGACTAGCCTTGGTGTCCTACGCCCCGCAGTGGGAGGCTTGCTGAACTTGTTTAGTCCCTGGGGTCTGAACCCAGGACGACCATGGACAAGCCTCTGAGCTACAGTATATTATGGAGCTCCCGGATCGTCCTCCGGACGTCCTCGACATGGAATATCCATTAGTCATACTCTTTTCTTTGAAGCTAAACCAATTATTAATACTTGACTTTATATTTTGCCCTGAACTACGCGTATGGTGTTTTACACGCTTGCGTACGCCGCACCTACCCATTCGATTTGTCGTGAAACCCTGCGACATTCTGGTAGAGCAGCAGGGTAGGTGTTTGCAAAGGAAACGCGAAAGAAGAAAGGAAAGATGTCGATAGAAGAACCCACGACAGTAGCGGTGCGCCAATCACGCCGTCTGGCGGGAGATGCCCACTGGGATTCCTGAGCACCCAGTAAACGAGTCCGGTCCTCGTTGGCTGGTTGGAAAAACAGTAGGGACGCCGTTCGTTGTTGCTCTTCAATGCCCCGAGTGAATTCTTCATAGGCCTTCTGGATGTCCCGTATCCCTCCGGTGGCCACCGTGATCGTGGCTACGATGGTATTTCCTGGTACTCCGGGACCGTTCCAGGTAGGCGTCCCGGTTGGCGTTCCTGATTCCATACCCCCGTACCCCTCTTGGACTAGGTGTATCCGGGAGCTGAAACAGGTATCGAATAGCACTCTAAGGTTTCGGCGTCGGACTCACGACCGTCTGTACCAGTTCTGGTCAGGGTCGGACCGTCGGTACCGGTTCTGGCCAGGGGAGTCGTAGGCACTAAGGCCAGGTCTACCGCCGATGCCAGCGCCGGTCTCTTCAACGGTGGCCGTGTCTCTCGACGTTGGCTGTCCTGGAGTCCAAACTCCGGGGCATCTCCCGCCAGACGGCGTGATTGGCGCACCGCTACTGTCGTGGGTTCTTCTATCGACATCTTTCCTTTCTTCTTCCGCGTTTCCTTTGCAAACACCTACCCTGCTGCTCCACCAGAATGTCGCAGGGTTTCACGACAAATCGAATGGGTAGGTGCGGCGTAGGCAAGCGTGTAAAACACCATACATGTAGTTCAGGGCAAAATGTAAAGTCAAGTATTAATAGTTGGTTTAGCTTCAAAGAAAAGAGTATGACTAATGGATATTCCATGTCCAGGACGTCCGGAGTCTGGTCCGGGAGCCCATAATATAAGTCTTGTCCGTGGTCGTCCTGGGTTCAGGACCCAGCGACTAACAAGTTCAGTGAGCGCGGAGCGCAGGAAGCCAAAACACCACGGCTGGTCGTGGTACGTCCGAATATTCCCCGCGACACTCCGTTTCACATGTAAGTTGTGAAACGTCACTTGGACACAATAACTTGCTTACCCTTTCCTGACCACTACAATCCCCCATTTGGCAAAATGGCTTGCTGCATGCGCGTGCGGTACAGTAGTGTTATTTGGATCCCCACCCCTCCCGACATAGTTTCGTGGATGGACTGCAGTGGCAAATTTGGCTACCCACTATCTGTACCACCATGCATCAAACCCAACCTTACGAGCACGATGTTATGCTCATGCTGTGCGCGCACCAAACCCGTCGGGTAGTTGTATTTACCTCAAGTTTATGACCCAACAACTAACCATGCGATTACAAGGGTGGTCGCACACATACATTGAAGTTTTTGTGTGCGCCGCGCACGGAAAGCAATACACTACAACCAAAACATCGTTTCTTAGTTTTTCCTTATAAATGCCCAACTCAACATACTTTCGTATCCATCAACCCTATTCCCACAACAAGCACTTCTCGGAAGGGTTCATGTACGAGTCGGTGGGGCACTGGAACACTCGGGCAAACTTAGCGTCGTTTTGCAACGCTCCAATCACGCGGAACCGATTGGGCGGGTGCTGCTTCCTCATTTTCCAGAGGAGGTAGTCATCCGTATTTTTGGAGCACCAGGATTGGGCGAACGACAAGTAGAACAATTTGTCGCCTGCTTCTTCCGTGTACTGGGACGGAAACTTCTTCAAGTACTCGTGGTACGCGCGGAAACTGGTCTTCAGCCCCCCGTTGTCCGCAATAGTTTCACCCAAAGAGATCTGGCCGTTGATGTTGCCCAACTCAGCGCCAGTCTCTTCGCTCATGACGACAAAGTTGGAGTACTGGTCGCTAAAGCACTGGGATTTCGTATTGAACGCAGTTTTGGTTGCGTTCGACCACCACGAGTTCAAGTTCCCGTCGCCATCCAACTTGCGGCCGTAGTTGTCGAACCCGTGGGTGATTTCGTGTCCGATGACCATCCCGATGGCACCAAAGTTCTGGGAGGCGTCAAACAGGCTGTCAAAGAACGGTTTTTGCAAAATGGCGGCCGGGAACACAATTTGGTTCATGTTGAACCTGTACTCCGCGGTAATCTTGTGGGGAGGCACGTCGAACTTGGGCGTGTCCACAGGTTGGCCGTTCAGCGTCAAGTTGGTGTCGATGTTCACTTGAGAGATCGTCCACCGGTTGTTCAAATACGACTTCGAGTTCAACGTCAGCGTGGGGTACAACTGGGGCTTCTTTGGGCCACCCACCAAACTCACTAACTTGGACAGCTTCTTTTGCGCGTTGGCGCGGGTCGAGTTGTCCAACCAGTCGGTGGTCGCAATACCAGTCGAGAAGGACGACTCCAAGGCCTTGACAAGTTCGTCGGCCGTCTTGGCCGTGTCAGCCGACCACACCGCGTCTATGAAGTTCTGGCCCAAGAGCTCCCCAACCGTGGAGCCCGTCTGAGACACGCAGAATGTTTCACGAGTAGGTTCCGCGTCTTCGTGATCTATCCTCTTGCCGAAAAAGTTCCAGTTGGCCGTGCGGAATTCAGGGGTCAGGTGGGTGGACGAGGCGTGTATGAGCTTGTACTCCACGATGGTGCGGAGGTCATCCAACGTCGTGTTCTTTAACAACGCTTCCGTCTTGTCAAAGTAGGCCAATTCGGTTAAACCCACCCAGTCGTTCGACTCACCGGACTGGTCGTGGACATTGAAGCCGTTGGCCTTGAGCCATGAGCCGATGAGCAGCGGGTACTTCTGGTCCAGTTGGTAAAACGTATACACAGTGTAGGGAGACGCAGCGGCCTCCGTCTCCTTGAACTTGTAGAGGCCGAAGTCGGCCACAGTTACTTCGAAGCGGGTGATCACCGGCACCGCAGCCGCCGCTTGTTCGGCAGTGTAGCCAGCCAACTGCAACACCGACGTAATGTACACCTCGTAGTCGGCTTTGAAGTATGACCACTCGGAAGGGAAGATGTAGTATTTGCGAGGTAGCGGCAGGGGGGATCGGACACCGAAGAGGGCGTTCTTGGTTGGGTTAGCGTAATCAGCTCTGGCCTTGATGTCGACAAAGGCAGGGATGCCATTCTTGGCCAGTTCGCCAGCCACGACGAGGAGGTCCAACGTGTTGTTGGCCGATCGAATGGCTTTGAACGAGTCGGTCAACGGAGTCACGCCGAGCGAGGACAGCGTAGCCGTGTCCAAACAGGAGTTGTAAAACTCGCCAAGCTTGGTCTTGTTGTCAGACAAAATCTTTTTCAACACGGCTTCGTTTTGGATGGCGATCTTGAAGAACGACGTATCGGTAATGGGCCTGTCCGGGGAGATCACAGCATCCTTGTACCACGCGCCACACGCATATTGATAAAAGTCGTCGCAAGGGTTTGTGGAGTAGTCGATGAGCTTGGTCACAGACTCGGGGAATTCCGTGGCGGAGCCAGCCGTAGCGGAAGTGGCCAGCGCGCTCAGGAAGGTGAGGACTTTGACCATCGTAGCACGAAAAGGAAAATGAAGTTGGTCAGTGAAAACAAACCAGGCGGGCAAGTCTTTCAACCCAACCCACCGGAATCCCATCGCTAAGGGAAATTACAGTAACGTTATATTCGTTGGGTAGTACTCTAATCTAACTGTAAGTACTTCCTCTGTTCCTGAATGAAGTATACCGTTCCGTAATTGGTCAACAGTTCACAGATAGTAACAAAATCACCTATTGTGCTTTTCATGTAGTTTGCCCGTTGTTTAACTGCGTTAAACAACCAGATGTTTAAAATAATATAAGCCCGATTGAAGATAAAACAACGCTAAACACAAGTTCTGCATTTCAGCAGAATAAAACAACTCTTACTTTATTTCAGCTGCTAACTAATCGAGCTGCAGCACCAGGCCAACTTACGCCGTACAACCACCAGTTCATCACGATGCATACCGTATTAGAATGTGAAATGGGAGTACTATACATCGTGTAGTCGTAGTGCGCCCTTGTCTTCCACGTACAGTGCTAAGGTTAGAGCAGATCAAGAATTGTAGGTATGGCATAGCTTTGAATCATTGGACAGAGCGACGACTACATGTACTGTAGCCTAACTATATCCCTAACGTTATATAATATTACTCGGAGTAGATAATGTTAGTACTGTAGTGATCACGGATGGGAGGTCATGTATATCGCCATAGCTGCTTCAGTTTCATTGCGTCAACCACCTTGACATGTTGACGTAAAGCAAGTTGTTTGCCAGAATGAAAACGGCAAACAACTTGTTTTACGAAAGTGCCAGTAAAACCACCTTCAACCAACCAATCATCGCATTTGATGAAGTAACTTTAAACAACGCACCCAACCGTTATTCAAGTTACTTTAGACATTATTTAAGCCTGAGAAATTTTTAAACAATGAATTTAACCCTGGAATTGCCAAAAAAGGTGCAAAGCACAATAATATGTAGCCTATCAATAAATAGGCGTACAATTCCCTCATTAAAACAGTACCATTCTTGTTTTTCTCAGAAAACACTGCAATATCAGTGTGTACATGGAACTTTGTATGCTCGGTCCATCTCACCTCTTAGTAGGGGTTAAGTGCATAGCGATAGCTAACCACTGAGATACAGTTAACCCCGGAGATTTACCATCGTATGTACTCACCGGGGGTAGGACGGAGTCCCTGGTCACAGGGCTACGGGCGAAAAGGTGTATCCGGATGTGATAATTCCCTCATTGACTGTGAAACAGTATTTCGGGTCCAAACATTAGTGGAACTATTTTAATGAGGGAATTATTCTAAATAGGTAATACGCGTAGCGGAATGATAGGGAATGATAGGGGTACGTGGTATTTTTAGATCTTTGTATTTCCTACAGGGCTCGAGATACCGGTACTGACTTCAAAACGTTCACCACATCCGTCGACTGTACTGTAGTCGTTCTCCGTACTTCCGTTAATTCTACCTCAAAAAAGGTGGAAGATTGCTATTGGTACTCGTACACGTAGTAAGTTCAGTAGGTGACAGTAAAGTGAACAATAGTTAACCGTATAATAGTATCAATACTACTACTAAAAAGTAATACATGGTATGTACCAGTAAACAATCAATTTGATTGGTTTTTCTTGGTTTATGTCATTGGAAATGCACCGAAACCCAGAATAATTGATACGAGGTAGTTCCCCATTAATTCAGCTACAATCTCCAAGTTTCAGAGGTCGAAAATGTTGTATGAGCGGGGAGCTTTGGAAGTTCTCCCCAGCCGCCTTCCTCAGATGAGTCTTAAATTGATTCCGTCCTTGCGGGATAAGGTCATCTACTGACGGTTTTGGAAATCTCTGTTACTTGGTGGAAACAAATACGAAACGTTACAGTATCTAGTATATACTACTAGTACTACTAACCAAAGTGGTGGTGTGTTTGCACAAGTAAAGTTGAGGTGCACGTGATGAAAATGCAACATGAGTAGAACCTCGCATGCACTACAGCAAGACCAACTCAAAGACTGTATGTTGACAATGTACTTGTTGGGGGCTGGACCTAATCGAAGCCTCAAATAAGCGGGGTGAATCGAGCCGAGCCACAAGTCAATTCGACGAAGTTGTCGTGTTGCCAACATGAAGTCAATCATCATCCAAGACAGTGGCTTGGACGATTCAAGTGGCAACATACTACCGGTAGTACACAATCGAGAATTTGGTCGATTACATTGTGAATAACTGGACCAGATTTGATGTTAATTTAATATGTTGGTGCTAGCATGTATGTACTGTACACTACTTCGATGTATACAGTAAGTAGGCTTACAGTCCTGATTATGAGTGAGGGGGAGGCAGTTTTTAACTAGTGGTGTTTTGGGGTTTTGCTCGTGGATTTTTAGGTAGAGTTAGACGTGGGGCTTCACTCGTGGTTAAATGGTGTGGATGAGTTTTATTTAGAGGGCATTACTGGCTTGTTGCTTCATAGTCGAGAAGCCCAGTACTACAGTAAGTGTAATATCACTCCAACATAGCAAACGTAAAACAAGCAAACGTAAAACAAGCAAACAAGCCGTGGGCCCTATATCTTTGCGAGGTATTGTAACCGTATTAGAGTGTACTTTGTGAGCTGTAGTGCTGATCATACCATACAGTTCGAATGCCTACGCGTCCATATGTATAAGGATGGATGCCCAAGCAATTCTCGTTAACAGTAAGTTCCACAGTTTAACCACGAGCAAAACAACAACACATGACATTTTCGGTGACCACCAGTAAAAAGTCAAATGGCCACACGTTTCTATCCTATTCCCATGAGTGAGGCACGGCGAGTTCGACGAGTACAGTATGGCGAATGGAGGTGAGAGGAATGCGAGTTGCACTAAGCTTATGGTGGAGAGATGGAGGAGAGGCAGCCTTCGACAACGCCCCAAAGCTAACACCATCGTGGCTCCTGGTCCTACTAACGTTAACGCCATACTGTACCATTAACGCGTGTTGGGTTAGCTGTTGGTATAAGGAACCATTTTTGCCTTAACGTTAGTCGTAGATGGGTAAACCTTTCCCATGCATAAGCCACCAACCAGTACAGTAGTTCAGGCAATGTTGTATTCGTACGCTTGACGTTAGCCAGTCCTTGGACACTAAGAATGACGCACACCTCCAACTTGAGACGATATCGCCATGCATTTGTGACGCCCAAAGAACCTGAATTTGTGCGTTTCAAAATCCTTCAACTCACGCTGAGTATACTTTAATCCAGTGTTTCGTGAATGTTTCGTAAATAGTGGTATTTTTCTATACTTGAAGCACCATACAAAATCCAGCATAAAGGAAAATCGAAGATACTTCCGTTTTACGAAACAAAATGTTTCGTGACTGCATTGAAATTGTTTCATATTTGTTTCGTAAACCGTGTATATCTATCGACCTTACCTTTTGTCCTAAAGGAGCCGAAATGTACAGTACCTCAAATTTGAGTATATTCTAGCCCGAAAATCTGATCCCAACATCGAATTCTATCTCAAATCCACTGTCCGAAAACTCTCTAATGTCGTATATTCAAAGTTTTAAAACACGAACAGCGACAACGGCACTCGGAGACTTTACCTCCACCGCTTAGTCACGGACACCCGAAGTCACGCCTTCCTTGGTGGAAGCGTCGCCGAGTTCGCCCTTGAGGTAGCAATTACCTTCGTAGTGCGAGTAACCCACACAGCTGTCAGCCTCCAAGCACAACGCGCAGCAGTGGTCCTTCTCGGCAGAGATGCGGGCGATGTCCTTGCCGTTGTAGTCCACGTTGGCTTGGGCAGCTTGGCACGAACCAGCAGACTTGGTAATCTTGGCGGACTTAACACCCCACTTAAGAACGGATTTGCAAGCCTTAGACTTCAAGAAGCACGTGCCGTCGTTCCAAGGGGCCCACACGTACACAACGCAGCCAGGGGTCTTGGCACAGTCGTCACAGCAGTCGTCGCTGTTGGAACGTTGGGTGGACGTGATGTCGTTGCCGGCGTAGTCCACGTTGTCTTGGGCAGCTTCGCAAGAACCAGCAGGCTTGATGACCTTGGCAGGCTTGGTGACCTTGGCAGCCTTAACGCCCCACTTAGGAACAGAATTGCCAGCACTCGACTTCAAGAAGCACGTGCCGTCGTTCCACTTGGTCCATACGTACAAAACGCAGCCAGGGGTATTGACACAGTCGTTGCAGCAGTCGTTGCTGTTGGAGCGTTTGGTGGATTTGATGTCGTTGCCGTCGTAGTCCACGTTGTCTTGGGCAGCTTCGCAAGAACCAGCAGGCTTGATGACCTTGGCAGGCTTGGTGACCTTGGCAGCCTTAACGCCCCACTTAGGAACAGAATTGCCAGCACTCGACTTCAAGAAGCACGTGCCGTCGTTCCACTGGGTCCATACGTACAAAACGCAGCCAGGGGTATTGGTACAGTCGTTGCAGCAGTCGTCGCTGTTGGAGCGTTTGGTGGATTTGATGTCCTTGCCGTCGTAATCAATGCCCTCCACAGGCTTGTCACACGCGCTAGGCGTAGGGGCAGCCGCGGTGGTGGTAGGTTTGGGGGTGATGTTGAGAGGGCAAGGAGCTGAGCTGTCTGCGGCATTCGTGATCTTTTGGACGTTGGGCAACGCCGCGAGGCTGTTGATTTCTTCCTTGGTCAAATCGTTGCAGAGAAGCACAGGCTCATTCTCAAGGCCCTTGCATTTGGCCCAGTCGAATACGCTAGAGTCCTTTTGCGCGTTCAAATCGTCAATGGTCACGGCCACAGAAGCGGTGGACGTTTGTTGGATCGATCGAAGCACGCTGGGCCATATTTTATCCTGAGCAGCCGTGGCCACGGCCACGATAGACAAGACGAAAGCGGTTTTCATGGTCGAGTCAATTCAAGAATGAGAGAAACGAGTCGCAAAATGGCAGAGGTGGCAAGGTAGCAGCAGCCAACACCATGAGGTTGCACATTGATTTGGGTGCATTACGGTCAAAACCGGGTCAGTGCAACTATTGGCTTGTTTGATTATTTATGGTACTAGTACGTGATATTGATTGTTACTAACGTGTGAAATCAGTGATTTGCCAACGTATCAGGGATTTGCCAAGCTTTTATAGCCAATAGAGCACCAGATATGATATGATTAAATATAAATACTAGTTGGGCCTTTGACAAATTTCTAGTAATACGCTTAGGACATTATGCTTCTGCATTATTAATACAGTTAAAACCGAACACAAATGACCTGCACAATTTATATACCTTGTGAATATAATTCGTCGAAGCCCGACCTTGGCAATACTTTTGGGCCAGTATACATTTTGGCAAATCACTGATTCACTGTTTGAGCGACAAACCTTACTCTTAGGTGACATGCAATTCCCGGCAAGCAAATGGCCAATCACAATCATCCAAGGACAATGATTGGACAAAATTACTTACTCTTGTATCACATACTTGTAAGATTCAATATTCTGCTTGTCGACATAAAATACAGTTTTTGGATTACAGATACTGTAGTTGTACTTTTAAATTTAATTACTTGAACACTTTATATATATCGTTCTGAGGATTTTGTCACCCAAATCAGGCATACATTATTCAAGTGACTTACTGGCGGGGAATTAAATTCACACAGGGAAATTTCAATTTTAGAAATTCGACAAGCAAATTGACCATGTGATACAAATGATGGGACCTTCATAAAGTTATAAAGCTCGTCACGATATTCAAAATGCATGTTTTCGCAGCCTCAACGGATGAATGGGTGATGAGTTATGTATGGCACACAGAAAGTAGGCCAAGCTGGCCGGGAATTACATGAATCACCTTGCATTTTTTTTGCTCCTTTACCCAACCCTTTAAATGCATAACGTTATACTCTTAAAGCATGCGATAGCGCCTCAAATGGGGATGCAACTCTCATGTTCAGGATTAACATCCTTAACGAGGTATCGTCAAGGGGAAAATGCACAAATTTGGCAAATCACTGATTGCTCACGTTAGCGTTAGTACATTTTTATATCCTCCACTTACTGTTGAGGCCGTGTTCGGGCAACTTCACTGAACGATCACTGAAGGTTTCAACCTTGCATAACTTTTTTCTGCTTGGCTATTTTATCCGAAATCCGGATGTTACCAACGACAAATTTCTGGAATTCCATCATACATCTATTCGTGAGGGCCGCACTCAGGGTCAATATCCTTGACGGGGTATGAGTTACAGTATTGTGCTGGGTACGGTAGGACTCTTAGCATTACACTTCGTGTGTCTCAACTCGCATGACATAAGCCAATCACGGTTGACCCAGTTTGATCGCAAAGTTATGTACCACGGTTGATGTCCCAATGGAGTGTACTGTAGGATCTATAGGAGATATTATTGAGTTAATCGACCAATTCCCCGAGTGAGTGGGTGTGTCACCCACTTAATAGTACCAAATTCCCTGAGTGAGTGGGCTTTGACCAATTGAGTGGGTGTGTCACCCACTCACTCGGGGAATTGGTCGAGTTAATCCGTTGGGCAAGTACAAATGCGACATTCTCGGTTCAGTAGAACACGATTGTGTTAACTGGAAGTTACTACTAGTACGTATTAATAGTAGTAGTACGTACTAGTAGTAATAGATTCATGTAGCTAGGTCTAAACATTACTAACATTATAATCTCACACTTATTTTCTCATTCAACCATTATGCTAACGTGACAGTACCCCAGTTGCGATCTTGGATGCAGATTGCAGCTACATATTACACCATCGACAGTCATTAGTCCGGGCCGCATTCATTTTCAACCTCGTCACCAAACCTACGGCACATGTATTAGTGTAGACCGCACTATATCTCTATCCGCCGAAATTATGGACTTGGAGAGTTAGAGTGGACCGGATAATTTTGAATAACGTTACTGGTATCGAGAATTAGTATGGAGGTTTTCTTGATCTTTGTATGTGGAATTGTCTCAAAAAGATACAGTAACCTCTCGCTTACTGTTAACTCCGCACCCACTAACTCCGATTACACTCGCGTTTTGGTCCAAAAGACGTGCTGAGAACACAAATTAAAAACGAAAAATGAAAAAAATTAAATTATCATTTTGGCCACTATCGATGCGATCGATGTACCCATACATCGGAATTTCGACCATGCCAATGCAAAATGCGATTCATACTAATCTCGAGTCCATGGTTCTGCGCAAGCATATCCAGTTCAACTACTTCGTCATCTACGTTGTCATCACTACTTACGATGTTTGACAAAAAGTTGACTCCAATATCTTTAGTTGGCGTATTTGTATTGTACTACGTAGTACACTTTAACATAGTATCTTCGAGCTTTTGTACGTCACCGTGTTGCCAAGACATATGCAGGGACACCCTCCGTTCGTTGCAACACAGTTGCCTGCATCTTCGAGAGCTACCGGATGGCAGACTCGTTGACGGCGTATGAACGGGCTATGGCTCGCACTGACAGCATGCGCGTGCCAGCAAGTTCATCGATTATAGACAAACTCTCGACTTCGACAAGGAGTTCGCCTCCCTCACGAATCATTGTCGAAATGAACTCTGACCACCAATGATGATACAGTAGTGTTGTATCTACACTACGTACCACTTTGTCCTGATTACCAGTACTTACTATCAGTATTAAACTAGTGAGCCCGTTGCTCTGCCACCGGTGTTAATTGCCAGTTGGAGCAAGATATGTAGTTTTTGTTGCTACATATTTTTGTTGTCATATTTGAGCCTGGCATAGTTTTCAGACATTTTCTGTTTGTAGTATGCGTTTTCAAAACTCTTCTATATGCGGTACAACGGAGTCCGGTATTTTCCGAGAAGATGGGAATCAGTCCTTTTGCGGTATGGTCCACTGAAAGTAGTATAGGCTGCTGTAGAAACCTTGCAGCTATGCTAAGACTAAGCCGTGCATCTCAACTCACCAACCCTGTGATCTTTCACGCGTGGCGTGTTGACTTGAAAGCAGTTAGCTCCACCTCTTAGGAACATCCAATAGCGCCGCCGTTTGACACGCGACGTGTATGTCAGAATCCATGTCGGTGCCACCTTGTGGGTATGTTGAATGGCATCGCTATTTATCTCGTGACATGTTGGTCAGAACACAGTCGGCGCCATCTCGCGGTCACTGCAATAGCTTCGCAGATTGACTCGTGATGTGTTGGTCAGAGTACAGTCGACCCATCGTACCGGCACGACCGCTGTGTTGGATGTCGTGAACAGTACTTACGTATACACTTCGGAAGGAGTTCGTCATTCAAGAAGCAGTGTTTTCGAACTATCGCGTGTCCGTGTTGTGTGAGGAAAAACAATGCCGTAGAAACTTGATGTGCAGGATGATTTGCTTCGTTGAGTACAGCGGGGTTTCGGATCTGTACATATTTGTGTTGAACAACGTGGCGAACAACATGTCCGTCTATTGAAAATAGCCTGGGCTTCCTATATTTGCTATGATGGTTGATAGTACGATAGGGGAAA